GCAATGTGTTCCATGACTGATGTCCCAACTAATAAGGTTCTATTGTTAACTATTTGACAGAACGTCGTTTCAAAAATAGCCAGACTATCCCTTTAAGGCAGCAGCAATCCAGTTAGTTCTTAGCCATGTTCAGGCTAGTTCTTAGCTCATTAATCTGGTTAGCTTCAAAAGCTTCAAATTATCACTTTTTTAAAGGAAATATGTCTTACATTTTTACTCATATTTTTTTAGCATTCTTTTAGTGGGATCCAGTTTTCTCACAGAGTAAATGTACCCTCAGCATCTGGGATCATTACTCACCAATTTTAGAGATTACTGTTGGTCAAACATTCCCCTTGTGATTATCTGCTCTTTCAATCCTGTAGTAATTAAATATTTAGAGTGTACTCAGTCTATGGATTCACCCAAACACCATTGATTGTCCAAGCCCCAGGGCAAAGGAAAATGCCAATTGGCCAAACAGCTGAAATGTTTTGTTTTTGTCTGAAATCTGGAATAAGTGTAGCTTGAAATTGAAAGTAGATTTCTATTGGATAACAGCAAACTGCTGCCTCCAAGTAACAGTGAATTGATGTTTTTCTTTGATTGGCAGATCAGACACTTAAATAAATCAAAGCACAAAAGCACAACAGTACAGATCAAGAGCTTTACTGTGAGGGAAAACTGGTGCCATTCATCACTTATAGGAGCGCGTGTCTCGCCTTCAGGGGATGTGAGTCATGTTGCTCTGAAGCATCTGCCAGACTTTTGAATAGTGGGATTCACTGCTTTGTTCCTCCAGAGAGCTGCACCGGTCAAGACCTGGCAGATTTGGGTGACCGCCTCAGAGACTGGTTCCAGCTGCTTCACGGGAACGCAAAGCAGAACAACTCTGGAAAGCCTGGAGCGGGTGCTGCCTCAGGTTCGAAAAACTCATTTACTCATCCATTAAATGTAGAAATTGGTAGACTGTGCTAAGAACTGATGTGCGGTCCTCGCTGACAGTGCTGGAAAAGAGCCTGGTAGCCAGCTGCAAGGACTCCATCGGCTGGATGTTCTCTAAGCTGGACACCAACGGGGATCTTTATCTGGACCAAGCTGAGCTGGCTGCTATTAACCTGGACAAGTATGAGGTCTGCATCCGACCCTTCTTCAACTCCTGCGACAGCTACAAAGATGGGAAGGTCTCCACGGCGGAGTGGTGCCTCTGCTTCTGGAGAGAAAGTGAGTGGATCTGTTTTGTGACAAATAAAAGAAAGATGACACAGCAAAATAGTTTTGATTGCCCTTTATTCAAATACTAGACCTGTTTTAATATTTTTATAGAAAAGGTCAATGAGTTATACTGGTGCCCCAAAAAAACTCTTTTTAGGTACTTTATGGCTCGACCCTACAGTACTAATCGCATCAGATGTGCTTATTCAGCTGGAACAGAGATATTGTGGAGTGCTTTGAAGGTGCTGTTTAATCAAATCTGATTAAAAGTCAGTTTAATCATTCTTTTTAAATCAACGAAGGAGCAAAAACAAAATTATTAGATCTTATCCATCCATCCAGCCATCCATTATCATCTTCCACTTTATCCGGAGTCGGGTTGCAGGGGCAGCATCTTGAGCAGGGAAGCCCAGACCTCTCTTTCCCCAGCCACCTCTTCCAGCTCTTCTGGGAAGACTCCAAGGCATTCCCAGGCCAGCCGAGAGACAGTCTCTTCATCATGTCCTGGGTCTTCCTCAGGGTCTCCTCCCAGAGGGACGTACCTGAAAAGCACCTTCCCAGAGGAGGCATCCAGGAGGCATCTGTACTCGATGCCCGAACCACCTCACCTGGCTCCTCTCGATGTGGAGCAGCAGCGGCTCTACTCTGAGTCGCTCCTGGATAATCTCTAAAATAATCTGGTTTCTGCAGAGAAAACTCATTTTGACCGCCTGTATCTGTGATCTTGTTCTTTCAGCCACTACCCAAAGTTCATGATGAGTGAGGGTAAGAATGTAGACCAATCAGTAGAGAGCTTGGCCTTACAGCTCAGCTCCCTCTTCATCACAACAAACCGGTACGGAGCCTGCAACACTGCAGAAGCTACAACGATTCATCTATCAATCTCTTTCCTCACTCGCGAACAAAACCTCAAGATACTTGAACTCCTCCACTCCATGCAGAACCTCACCCCTAACCCAGAGAGAGCAATCCACTTTTTTTCYCACTGAGGACCGTAGACTCAGATTTTGAGGTGCTGATCCTCATCCCAGACACTTCTTACTCAGCTGTGAACCGCTCCAGTGAGAGCTGAAGATCATGGCACAAATGACTCCATCAGGACCGCATCAGCTGCAAAATAGCTGAGATGGAATCCTGAGACCACTGAACCGGACYCCCTCTGCGTCCTGTCTGCACCAAGAACTTCTGTTGATGGAAGTTACGAACAGAATCAGTGGTAGCAGGCAGTGTCGTACAAAACTTATTCTTTTGTAAAGTGGGTCTGGAATGACAGGATTAAGACATTAGTCTAAAACCGTCTGCTTAGCAAAAAAATAATAATAATAACGTGGAGCTCGGATGTAGAGAGCCTGTTCTGACATTTTGTTTTAAAGTTTCACAAAATAATTAAGGATTTCCATGGAGGCATGTTTCAGCTGTGCACGAGTGAAACATCTGCACAGTTTGACCTTTGATAAGGGAATGAAAGAGAGCCCGGCAGGTAACCTCATTTGCATGCTGATCACTCCACTGATCAGGCGTTTAACCTGCCTGCCGTACATCAAACTGACTCCCTAATCAATTTACCAACACAAGATGTTCACGTGACAAAAAAAATCTTTGCCCTGAAGTTTTAACTTCCTATTTTTCACATCAGCCACATAGATAAAAAGGAAAAACAGGTGCTTTTTAAAATAAAGTTTATTTAGGGTTGCTTTTTTTCTTTCAAACACATAGGGAAAGGTTTTTTTAAGGGCTTCACAAAGGATTTAGAAGATTTGTTGCCTTAGGTGATGATATACAAAGTGTTTTTTATTTCCATCTGTTCTAGAGGTTGAGCTCATTTCCTTGTTCCTTCTTACCCTGCATCCATATGTTCTTTCATCTAAACATCCCTCGATCAATCATACTCTGGGGAACGAAACCGAAGGCTTTTTAAACAAATCGATATGAGCAAAAAGTGTAATTATGAAGAGCATTGATTGAGATTAAGTTGGAGGCGGGAGCAGTTGGAAGGTTTTTTGACTGTCGTCGCTCTTCTTGCTCGTCTCTCGCAGAGCCGCCATGCCTCGCCGAGCTGGAGAGGATCCAAGTGCAGCAGGCTGCCAAGAAGAAGCCTGGTAAATACACATTTTTGTTTAATTCAGCGAGGTTCCAGACCTGTTTAAACAACACTTGGAYGTTTTGCAAACTCATCTTAGATCATTTTAAAGACCTGCTATAATGATGCATAAATTGCAGCATCCAGGTGGTTTGTCCACTTACACCGACTGCATATACAGTATATATATCTGTATAAGTATATGTAGATACAAAGAACTGCCTA